TCCCTGTGACTCGTCTGAGTCTTCAGCTTCCAATTGTGACCCCTTGTTTCTGTGTCCCCTCTCTGGAACATCCTATCTCTGTCCACCTTGTCTATTCCCCGCAGTATCTTGTATGTCGTTATCATGTCTCCCTTGACCCTTCTGTCCTCCAGTGTCGTCAGTCCGATGTCCCTCAACCTTTCCTCGTACAACATTCCCCTGAGCTCTGGGACTAGCCTTGTTGCAAACCTTTGTACTTTCTCTAACTTCTTGACGTGTGTGTGTGTGTGTGTGTGTGGTGTGTGTGTGTGTGTGTGTGTGTGTGTGTGTGTACTCACCTATTTGTGGTTGCAGGGGTCGATTCATAGCTCCTGGCCCCGCCTCTTCACTGTATGTGTGTGTGTGTGTGTGTGTGTGTGTGTGTGTGTGTGTGTGGTGGGTGTGTGTGGGTGGGTGTGCGTGCTTATGTGTATGTATATGTTTGTACGCTCGTGTGCATGTGTCTGTGCGTGCGCCCTCGTGTGTGTATGTGCGTGTGCGCGCACTCGTGTGGGTGTATGACCCTCTTAATATTTGTACTTATAACTCATTACAATTGTGACCGGGTATGGACGTGTCAGTGGCTCATTACTTTGTAATTTGTTCATGATTGTAACCATGTGTAGGAATGAGGATGATTCATTACCTATGTAACTTGCCATGATTGTGACCAGATCTACCTGGAGTTCATTACCTTTGTAACTAGATCATCTATCATAACTTTGGGGTCCAGTCCCTGGACCCATTACGTACCTCTTGTAATCTTTTGAGTACCGCCCACAGGATGGGTATGGGGTGCATAATAAAGATATTAAATTAGAGGTCAGGGAGATCATGAAAGCGTTTCCTCTTGAATATCTCACTAGGAATGTAGATGAATGGTTCAGAGAACTGACAAGTTGATAAATTTATCAACTTGTCAGTTCTCTGAACCATTCATCTATATTCCTGTCTGACACAGCAACATCTTGGGATCTTAATACAGGGAATTCTTCACTTGCTAACCCTTGGGCATGACCTACTTCCACATTGGATAAATGTGGTACCACCTACGACTGCTGCACCTCTCCTGCCTACGGTATATAAGCTACTTCTCTGCAGATATTCTGTATTCTTTTCAGGATTGATGGACTGACCACATCGACTCAAGGCTGAGGGACTGATTACCTCAAACTCCTCCTGTTCTTCACCATTTTCCTTTGTATGGACTGATGAAGCCACTGTGTGGCGAAACGTTTCCTCTTTAAAGATACCCAAGTGTTGCACATGTGTCTAATTTATCATCTCACTAGGAAGGAGAGCATTGCCAGTATTCGTCAAATCAAATCAAATCAAGTTTATTCTCTATAAAGATTACAATGCGGAGTTTACATTTTATAGGATATTGTGTGGTTTACATATTATATAAAACTAATTACAGAGAGGGTCATTATCACGCCTAGCATGACTAGGCATTTCGGGCAGACTAAGATTAATTCAGAACTCAATACTGGTACAGATTAAGGAGCATATTGATATTAAGGCTAAGTAACTGCATTACAGTTCGTAAATTTAGCCATGTGAATGGTTTTGTTTTGGTACAATATACAGCTTCTATTGAAGCTCCAATATTGGAGTATCACAGGCAAACTTATGACTAGTTAAGATTCATTAGGTAATAGTTGTATTACGTATTTCTATGTTTATAGTCAATTGGGTGAGAGTAAGTGCGAATTGTGGGGAATCACAGATATCGAGGGAAGGTCTAGGTTGTTTTTCATGTGTGTGTGATACAAGAGAATAGGAGATTTTCATGTAGTTAGCTGACGGTGGGGTGTCAGGGAGATAAGATGTTTTCCAACGGTAGTTTTGAAAGTGATGAATGTGTCTGCAGTTCTAGAGTTTTCAGGTAGGGTGTTCCAGATTTTTGGCCCTTTTATGTACAATGAATTTTTGTATAAGTTTATCCGGACACGGGGAATGTCTTAGAAATGTTTGTGTCTGGTATTATGCCTGTGGGTCCTGTCACAACTATCAAGGAAATATTTTAGGTCAGGATTAATATTGAAATTTAAGGTTCTGTAAATGTAGGTTGCACAGTAGTAAGTGTGGATGTTCTGTACAGTGAGTCTTGAGAAATAGTCTAATGATGTATTTGTTACAATGGAAGACTCACCGCTGGCAAAGGAATTAAAGAAACTAAGACGTATATCTAAAATGCCTCTATGGATGTATAGGTTGAAGGTCACCTGTAATCTGCGCATCATGATTAAGAGCGACTAAAGTTAGTTACCAGTTATCAATAACAGTTGTCGATAAACACGGCTTGTTTTGTTTGTTTGTGTGAGTGTACTCACCTAATTGTGGTTGCAGGGATCGATTCACAGCTCCTGGCCCCGCCTCTTAGTTGGTCATTACACTGCGGACGGGCGTGCATGTATACCTGGAGGGTGTTCCGGGGATCAACGGCCCTGTGGGAAATTACCTACAGGAGGTTTACAGGGTATTACATGAATTATTTCCTGCAAATAATTTGGGTGAGATAAATGGGACTTATTCACAGTAGGTCGCCAAACTGTCCCTCCCTCGATGCCCACTCCACAAAAAGCTAGATCCAACATTAAATTAATAATTACAATATTAAAACCAGCTACTCTGGTAAATTAAAGTTGTGTGGACTGTATATGATTAAGCTTGCTGGGCACACATAATATAATTATTGGACATAAATTAAAATAGTGTTATTAGAAAGGAAATTCGTATTACTACTTACCATTTAATTACTGGATCATAATTATTATTTTTTGGAAACACACTTTAACGCTACCACTACAGCTAGAATTTACGATGTCAATGCAAAAAACTACTGTACATTATGGGTAAGCATCACTTAGCTCAGTTGTGTTTCTGGGAAGGATTGGAGTCCTCTATTTTTCCATCCTTGCTGCCGAATTGTAAGGGTTTTCCACACTATTTATCCCAGTTCTTCAGCAGGAACGTGTCAGCAATTTCTAAATTATAGATTGAGGCCAATGTGCACCAAGTGGTCTTCGAGAACGCCTGATTACATTGTACAGTTCAGTCCAGTGTTCACACATCAAATTCATTATGTCCCTCTGTCGCTGTTCTACGCCCCCCCTCACTCGAAATTTCTCAAAAGGGTCAAATCAGCATCACATTTTAATATGCAATTATTATATTCACTTATATGTTATACATTTAGAAAAATTATGTAAACAATTTCCACAGGCCCCCGTGGCCTGGTCCATGACCAGGTCTCGCGGTGGATCAAGGCCTGATCAACCAGGCTGATACTGCCGGCAGCAAGCACATCGACGTACGAACTACAGCCGGCTTGCCAAATAGACTTCAGGTGCCCGTCCAGCTTCCTCTGGAGGCAGTTAAACATTCCTGGGCCCCCTGATGCTTGCTGTGTTGTCTCTTACGGTACTCATGGCGCCCCTGCTTTTCATTGAAGGGATGTTGCACTGCTTGCGGAGTCTTTTGCTTTCGTAGGGATTGATTTCCGTGTGCAGCTTGGGACTATTTCCTCTAAGATTTTCAAAGTATATATAATAATGTATCTTTCTCTCCTGCGTTTCAAGGAGTACAGGTCAAGGGACTTCAACCATTCCTAGTAATTGAGGTCCTTTATTGAGCAAACTTGCTTACTTACTAAGCTTTTGTTTAGTGATAAGGTATAGTGATAATAAGGTAAACAATGAATAATTAAAATTTACCACTCTATAACCTATGTCTAGTTTTAAATAGTTTATGCGCATTAGGATTATTCTGCCCGGAATGCCCGGTATGTTATAGTGGCTGTCTATGTACTTATAACAACACTTTATAAGATGTTAATCACACACTGTAACCTTTGCAAAGAAAGGACCCCAAAGGAAATATGTCACTGACTTTTTTTGGGTTATCCTAGGTAATCTACACATATGCTGCTATATATAATAATTTAAATACCTGTATTTATGTGTATATGTACCTGAATAAACTTACCTGTTTGTATGTAGAAGCATTTACAAATGAGGTGGTGCATGAGTACGGACGAGTGAGGGCTGGGAGAGGGGCGTCAGTCAGTCAGCTGTTGCTGAGGGAGGAGGTTGTACGTTTGTCTCTTCCATAGTACTTTCCAGTCTTCCATCATGGTAGTCCCGGAAAACCTCGCCAAAGTGTTTAAGTAAGCTCAGCACTCCGGTGGAACTCTCTTTTTGAGGAATTATAGGGATATCCTAGGTTAAGTCATTACAAAATGTCACTTCTGTGTATTCATTATAATTATACGTGGAGTTTTTATATTTCTTAATTTAAGTATTGTTTAGTTGTATGGATTGTGATGTCTGTGCAGACTGATTTAACTCGAATACACATTTGGAAGAAGAGGCAGATGCGGTATAATACGATTTTTATTGAGAACATTTCACACTTGGAGTTGACTTTTTCCAATAAAAAAAACCCACTGAGTGGGCGAAACGTCAGTAAAGAATGCCAAAAAGCTTCACTTGTGTGTTTGCATCGTGTTGATATTTTATATCATTTCTTTAAAGTAGATTTATTCAATATCCAAACGAGTTGGTGTTGACCTTGATTATTACTGACTGAACCGGTGTTGATGACCCGGATTTTAACCTGTTTTAGTGGAAAGTGACACATATACACAGATAATTTCTAACACTGAAGAAGCTACTGTGATGAAATATTAAGTTTACTCGTGTTCTTTACTCAAGATAACCCAATAAAGCCAGTGACGTAATATCCATTGAGAACTTTGTACTACATGCAGTATTATGTAAATTGTAATTATTAAAAAAAATGCAATGTGAAAGGAATATAATTATTTACTTTAACTGCTGTAATGTGTGTTATGTAAATTTCAACAGGAAGTGGGTTGTGCAGTGGAGTTACTTATATTTTGTATGAAGGGAAGGAAAAAACTAATGCTATAATAAAACTAATGTAGCCAAACTAGATTTTGAATTAAATACTAGGTTAGTTTAGGTTGTTCATTTGGTTGCCAAAAAAAAAAAAATCCCCTAGGACTACTAACATGTAATTGTCTTCATTGCTCAATTTCTTATAGAATTTACATGACAGAGCAGCTAAAAGTTTAAAGCCCAGAAATCACTTACTAACTTGTGCACAAAAAATGGTTTATTGCAAAACCCACTTGTTATATTCTGTAAATCATAAATTATCACCTAGCTATAATGACCAACTCTAGTAAATATTTCCCAAACTGAGTACATATCACTTCCATGAAAATCAGTTGCACGAATATTAAAATCAGCCTGATAAGAAGGGCAAAAAAATTGTATTATGAGAACAGATTATCCAACTTACGAGGTGATATAAAAAAGACCTGGAAGACCCTATCAGAAATTCTGGGAACAAAAAAGATATCACGACATAGCGAAATAAAATTAGCAAAATCAGATGAACCCCAACTCCCCCCAACAGAAACAGCAAATAGACTCAATGATTTCTTCTCCACTATAGGTCAAAACCTTGCCAATAATATCCCAAGCTCAGATACCCCACCAAATGACTACCTCACTGGCAACTACCCGAACACACTGTTCCTAGCTCCTACAAACCCCATACGAAGTCTCCCTTATTATCAACGCACTGAAAAACAAGGCAGGAGATTTAAATACCTTACCACCCTTTATATACAAAAAAGTGTCACAAGTACTATCACCAATCATTGCAACACTCTTTAACAAATCCATTGAATCCCCCACCTTCCCTACAGTTCTCAAAATAGCAAGGGTCACCCCGATCCATAAAGGAGGGGGACCAAACAGAGTTGAATAACTATAGGCCAATATCCAATTTACACCCTCTCAAAAATCTTCGAAAAATTAATTCATAAACGAATCCACTCCTACCTCATCTCCCATAACATTCTCAACCCCTGCCAATTTGGATTCAGGCCTAATAAAATACTAATGATGCTATTATACACATGCTAGAACATATATACACTGCAATAGAGAAAAAAGAAGTCCCACTGGGGATTTCATTGACTTACGTAAAGCTTTTGATACAGTTGACCATGACTTGCTCCACGTAAAATTGGGCACACTATGGTATTAGAGGGCACTCCCTCAACTACCTCAAGTCTTACCTCAGCAACAGAAGCCAATATGTGTACGCAAATGGGGCAAGCTCTTCTGCACAACCAATTACAGTTGGTGTCCCACAGGGAAGTGTCCTTGGCCCTCTTCTCTTTCTCCTATACATAAATGACCTACCAAATGCTTCGCAATTACTCAAACCCACACTTTTTGCAGATGACACCACATACGTCTTCTCTCACCCGAGCCCAGTCACGCTAGCCAATACTGTAAACACCGAATTACAGAAAATATCTACCTGGATGAGGACTAACAAACTTACACTAAACATTGACAAAACCTACTTCATTCAGTTTGGTAGCAGAGCTACAGATGTACCTCTTAACATAACGATAAACGGATCACCTATCACAAAGCTAACAGGGAAAATTCTTAGGAATCCACCTCGATAATACTCAAATTTCATACACATATACAACAAATTTCTAAGAAAATTTCCAAGACTGTAGGCATACTATCGAAGATACGGTACTATGTTCCACAGTCAGCCCTCCTGGCCCTTTATCACTCTCTTATTTACCCCTATCTCACCTATGGAATTTGTGCATGGGGCTCAACAACAACTAACCATCTCAGACCACTAATTACCCAACAAAAGGCTGCAGTTAGAATGATAAATTCTCACTACAGGCAGCACACTCCACCAATATTCAAAACACTCAACCTACTCACCATACAAAACATCCATACTTATTATTGCACTTATTACATACATAGAACACTTAACTCTGATATTAACCCTCCCCTCAGACATCTCCTTGCCAACCTCAACAGAACACATGACCATAATACAAGGCACAGATCACTCTTTGATATTCCTCGTGTCCATCTCGCGCTATGCAAAAACTCAATGCACATAGAAGGCCCTAAAATCTGGAATTCATTACCTGTAAATATAAAAGAAACACTACCTGTTTATAAATTCAAGTCTCTTCTCAAAGTTCACTTACTCACTCAAAACCAAATAAATACTGAATAACTGAACCATATAAATTGTATATCCTAAATGTTACTCACAATTATATCACACAAATGTTGAACCTAACTGTTATTTTTTAAATACACTACCTAACAGAATACTCCATTCTACTGAATGAACAGCAATGCATGCAACCATAGGACCTGTCTTTGTAATACTCATTTGTATTTTATAGTTATCTGTTTACAATAATGTCTTATCACTGATTTCATCATTGCTTAGTTAATCTTAAGTTAATTTTAAGCCAGCCCGTAATGCTATGCATATAAGTGGCTTTGGCATGCTGCTCTTACCTGTATTTTTTTGTACCTCTGTTTGTATGCTAAAATTTCTAAATAAATAAATAAATAAATAAATTCTGGCTACTAATATATA